CTTCAGTGTGGATAGCAGACACGTAGCTCCAGTTGTATCTTTTGACAATGTCCACCATAGCCCGCGCCTGCTGGGCGTCTGAAGGCACCACCCGCATAAAATATTTGTAAAGACTCTGAAATAATGGAAAATTATTAACAAGCTGTTATTAGGGTTCAGCTATCAAAACTCATTTTGTCTGCATTTGTCCAGTTTTAAACATCTGTAAACGGACCAGTGAGCTCACCTTATCACTGAGGTCCATACTGGTGGCGGAGTAGGCGATCTGTGGTATGTTGAAGAGCTGTAGCAGATTCTGGACCTGGATGGCCACTGAGCTTGACCCCGGTCCAATTAAACCCACTATAGGTTTCTTTCCTCGCATTGGAGTAGCAGATGGATCTGCACACTTCATCGTCGCTCCTCCGCCTCCTCCTCCTCCTCCTCCTCCCCAAGAACTCAACCCACCCCACTCCTCAGCTTCATCAGATGAGACCAGAGAATCCCGAATGAACTCGATGCTCTGCTCCAGAGCTACAGCTGAGTGCCAACAGGAGTCGCGGATCTCGCAGCCCAGGGTGATGTTGGGAAGGATTTGCTGGTCGGCGTTGATCCGGTCCAACGTGTGCATCATGGCCTCCACCCTCTGGATGCCATACTGCTCTCGTACAGCACCACATTTACGCTCATGCACCTGAGCACACATAGAGGATGAAAATAAATCAAGTCAAAATGAATTTACGTTCATATAATGGTAAATCTTGTCATCATACGTTATAGCATCAATTGTTTATGTTGCCTGATGCATATTTCAGCAGGTTAAATGACTAGAGATTTACAGTTACTCTTTGAACTAATTACTTTGCTAATTTTGATTTTACTTTCACATGACTGCTTTGTTGAAAGAGGGTTTATTTTTTTTTCTTCCTATTATTCATAAGGAGATGAAAAAGGTTTAAGTGTCAGTGGGTGACCACTGGTTTCTGAGGAAACTAATGGAGCTTAAATGTTCTTAGACTCACACAAAGGTACTCATTATACAAATTAAATATATGCCTTTGGTAAGCAGAGCAACATTATGACCCTCGGAATAATAGTTCCTCAATTTGGCCAAAAATTATACCCAGTGAGTTTTTTCTGAAGATAATTTCACACTTTTTATTTCTTTAATTTTGTGGTTTTTCATTAGGATTCTGTCCAATCCAGAAATAATTACAGTAAGATAACAAAAAGATGAATTTCTATAATTTCCCAGAGTAAAAACCACGCTGAAGAGAGACACAAAACCAATAGATCACCTTGTCAGCTGGAGGCTGGTGATGGACGGAGAACAATGCTCCAATGATGATGTCACCAGGCATGTGTGCTACAACTCTGCGTTCACTGGACTGAGTAGAATCGGCTCGATCAGACCTCACCCAGATGGACAAAACTAGCAGCAGCAGAAGCATCATCTTGGTCCGATGATGTGAAAAAGATAAACTAGGTCTTGGGTTTGCTGTGCAGAGCTGTCACAGGGTGCTACTTGCTCCAGAGACCCTTCCCCCACCCATGACAAGAGCTTGTCACGGTGGAGAATTTGTAAAGTCAACAAACAACAAAAGGTTTTAGTATAATCCTCCTCAACTTGCTTCTTTTTCCTTCAGATGTCAAGGAGGGACGGATGAGACAGGTGCAGAAATGCAACCTGGGAAATTCAAAAGAAAATCTGGGCAAAGTCTTGTTGGGTGAAACCACTCCAGGACATTCCTGTTACATGACTGATTTGGTTTCCAGAGTAAAGGGTGAAGGACAGACATGTTCACATCAACCTGTGAGCAGAAAAAAAACTGATTAGTATATAAAGATTTTAGGACTTCCGTTTGACACACACAAAAACCACATAGGACTCATCTAACAGCATTATTTTGTTACAATGAGTCCGTAGAAAGCTCCTTTCTTGTTGGACCAACTCCAGCAAGCGAAACTCATACCTTGGCTCTTTTTTCAGGGGAGGGCTTGGGTGGACATGCTCTAACTTTGTCACTGATACACTCAATTCAATTCAAGTTTATTTATGTTGCGCCAAATCACGACAAGCGTAGTCTCAAGGCACTTCACATAGTAAACATTCCAGTACAGGTCAGTTCATTAAGCCAATCAGAAAAAAAGTTACATATATAGGGAACCCAGCAAATTGCATCAAGTCACTGACTAGTGTCAGTGACTTTACAGCAATCCTCCTACTAAGCAAGCATGCAGCGACAGTGGAGAGGAAAACTCCCTTTTAACAGGAAGAAACCTCCAGAGGATCCTGGCTCAGTATAAGCAGCCATCCACCACGACTCACCGGGGATCGAGAAGACAGAGCACACACACACACACACACACACACACACACACACACACACACACACACACACACACACACACACACACACACACACACACACACACACACACACACACACACACACACACACACACACCAAGTAGTGTTTCGATGGTTATGACCATGATTCATTTGGTTCAATTAACTTTGTTTACATAGTAAGAAAGCAGAGAAGATGGTACAGCAACACACTTATGTTTCCACTTATGGTTCCACTGAAGCCACGCCGCATGGCCGTCAATCAAAAAAGTGTCATGGTCTGTGTCTCCGTCTCACCTCATGTGTCTCCTTTTGTCCTCATTTGTCTCTAGGTGCTCCTTTTGTGTCTTCTAGTGCCCTCATGTGTCATGTCTGCGTCTTCCTCATGTGTCTCCTGGTGTTCCCCATTTGCCCTCTAGGTTTCCCTCCTCAGACTTCCCTCTCCCAGGTCCTGTGCTCTCTTGGCCCCCTCTTAGCCACGCCCCTGTAGTTTCTTTCTGTAGTGTTTTCCTTTAGTGTCAGCTTCCCCTTAGAATATTAATCATGGTTCATGCCTTCTGGTCTTTTGTTTTTCTCTTAGGCCATTTTCCTTTGTTACAGCCTTCATTATTTGTGTTTTTTCCCACCAGTGTTTTCTTCCTCCTCCCTGAGTTGGTAATTGTGTTCACCTGGTCCCTCTCCCCACACACCTGCAATTCATCTCCCTCTCATCTTCCCAGTCTATATGAGCCCTGTCTTGTCTCTGTGTGGTTGTCGGTCCATTGTATTGTTGTCAGCGTTTGTTCGTGCTCTGTCTGAGCTTTTCATATCTAGGTCTTTGTGCTCTTAGTGAGCTTCTTGTCTCTAGGTTTTTTGGTGCTCTAAGAGAGCTTTGGGTGTCCTGTGCTCCAGGACTTTTGGACTTTGGCTCGCTGTCTTGGATTTATTTTTGTTCTTTATCCTGCAAATAAAATGATTTTTTACTTTGAACCAACTTCTGCCTCTTGTCGTCTGGGTAATTTGCATATTTGGGTCCTAAACATCCCCACAAAGTGACAAAAAGGCTCCGAACTTCCCCTTACATCTTTTTTTATACCCTATACTAGGCCCCACCCACTTAGTGATCTGGTCTCCTGTTATTGGATCAGTTTTCTTTAGCCCTTTTTAGAAGACACACCATGCCAGAAAATCTGCATAATACTGCCGCCACGGTGTGTCTTATGAATGCGCCGTGGCAGCATGATGAAGCAGGGATTTTGTGGCATTCGTGCCACCACGCCTGGTAGTAATATTGCCGCAACGCTGGACTTGTGAATGCATATTACACCTTGGCGCAACAGAGAGTGGTGTCATGATCATGTGGGGAGTTACTGACGAGCACTGGCTGGCTATATTATTTCAAATGAAACTAAACACAGGCAATAAGTTTTACTTTGTAAACAGAATCAGCTGAGATGATTCACTGGAGTGATGCAAAGCTCCAGGAGCTTTTCTCTGTTAGAGCTGAAGCTCAGATTACCAGAGACTGCACAAAGACGGTGGAGGACAGACACCTTTAGGAGCAGCTTGTTAAAAATCGTAACAAGCTTCGATCACAATAAAAAGCAAGATAAATGGGAGTCCGCAGAAGTGCACAGACCACCCTCATACCCCTTTATACCGCCATCGCTTTGTCTTTTTAAAAAGGACACGATTGCCTCACATTGTTTTCTAAAACAGGCTAATGTGTCTAATTGGCTGTACCCAATCCCATCCTATGTGAGAAGATAGGAATTGCTTTGAATGTATGTGCCTAATGTGATGCGCGAAAACAAAACTATTTCAAAATAACACAAAAATGAAAAGTTGGTCCTCATGGTCTAATAGAAAGCTGAGTCAACATCCTCATCATTTAATACAGCTCAATAAAATATGTGTGTACTCACAACCTTGGTCTGCGATAAAATATGTAGTTTGACAAACAAGCCACACGTAAAACTGATTTAACGTCTCATTTTGAGGATAACAACGGAGAAAATCATTAGCCAACTTTGCATTTGCTGGAATGTATCCAGCAAATAGAAACAACTTTTCAGATGTTTGTTTCGGTCACCATATCTTTTTCTCACATTATGTGCTGATGGTCAGAATATTTTTTAAAAGGCTTTCAACATTTCAGTAAAAGTTTTAAAAGGCACAGAACGTGCTCACACTGATATTTTCTGTCTCTGCTGAACAATCAAAAATGTGAAAGCTTTAAAATGATGCTGCCACCAAGTACTCTTTTAATCGTAAATAACTTTTACAACACTGTTAGCAATGTTACATTTCACCACCGTAACCATTAAAACCAGTAACAGATTCATCTCTATTGAAAAATGGTTACCAATAAACAATCAACTTTTGATTTTGGATGGCTGCTTTTGCTTTTGTTCTTTGACACTGAAAGCAGATACCCAGCGAATGCAAAAATGTCTCTTTTTCTTATTTATTTCAGGTGATATGAGTCTAAATAGGGTTTGGTCAATTAGATCACAAATTTTCACAAATAAACTCTTCATTTTCCAAACATGTCTACATTCAGTTATGAACAAGTTAAAAATTAGAAGGCAGAAAAAAACGTGTGAAGGACTAAAATATTTAGCATTTTCTGGCATTTGGTGCTGGTAACAGCAACAAGCAGAAGCTGGTTAATTTGCTAGGGAGGAGAAGGCTGAGAGCATGTCTGTCTGCAGAGCTTTGTGAAGTCGTATCAACTCAGTGAGACAATGACAACACTGCTGGTATCCTTGCTGCTACAAAAAAAGTATCTAAATCAATACAAATTTCTAGCATCGGTTGTATCTGAGTGTTCTTGACGACCACAGTTGAGATGAGTATATTTGGGGTAAAGAGAAGGGCAGAGCAGCACAATCTTTATCGTTGACACATGAGCAAAGGGCTAGGGGATGCCTGAGCAGCCATTTATTTCTTGAAGCCTATGCGATGACTACAGTACTGGCTCTGGACCAGCATTCCATACATCTTACATCTGAATGTTTCTCAAACAATGGCCAAGCTTTCCAGGCTTGTCCTTTTTCTCCTGGGTACAGCTCTATTATTGTGAATGAGCCAAGTCAACAATGTGTCCATTTCACAAACAAATATCGCTCCTTAAGGCTGCGGTGAAAAACTGTTGGTCTTCTGACAAGTTTCATGCAACATGCCTGAAATATCCACTTTGTTTTGATTAGATTTCACAGTGTGGCTCACCAAAATAAGAGCATTATTTGATGCCCCCAAACACACACTGTAGGGTTGGGCATCGAGCATCGATTGGAACCGGTTCCAACTGTTCATTTTTCCCAGAATCGCTCAATGTTTTTTATTTCGATACCTAATTTCGACTCCTAGTATGCCAACGGAAGAGGAATCCGCGGCCGATCTCCGTGAAAAATAAACTTGATCTGCAAGTTGTGATCAACGCTTTTCAGAGCTGATCACACCAGCTGTCTGAGTATAAACAAACGTGTCTGCCGAACTTTTACTCCGTCATGTAAACTTTAACTCCTGCAGCGTAGAGGAAACTTGTTAAAGACGTCAACACGGTGGATTTAATAGAAGCTTTAAAGAACAAACTCTGGACGGCGTGACTTTGTCTCACTGCAGAAATAAAAACACACACGGAGCGTCAGCAGTCAGACACGTGAGGGCCAGAAAGCTGAACAATAACCTGTAGAAATTAAAGTCATCATGCGAGAAGCTTATCTATGGTGGACCACACCAGCTTCTGCCACAATAAATAATAATAGTAATAATAATAATAATAATAATAACAAATCACACACAAAGTTGTGAACAATTTAATTTCCTTTCTGAACAATTTCTGTAGCGTTTTAATGTTTATAATCTGTTAGATTGTTACTGACAGCAGCTGCATTTAGGTTTCACTTTCTGTTCTGACTGAATGCTGCTGCAGCATGGAGGTGTAGTTCTCAGTCATCCTGGACATGATCATCCTGAGAGTTTTAGCTGAAAACAGCTGGACGTTCCTGGATATGTTGGAGACATTTAGCCTCTCATCCCAGAGGCTTCTTCCAGACTTTCGTTGTGGTCAGAAACAAACACAATGGTTGTGCTGCAAGTCTTTTTTCTCCAAAACATGTTTTTGTCTAAATGATGGTGATGTTATTGTTCATAGAATTAAAATTAATGTTGAAGTTAAGATTATTTCATCAAGTAGGACCTGTGGTTAGCTAGCTCATGTAAAACATGTCATGTCTTCAAAGAATCTGAATCAGGAATCGATAGGAACCGGAATCGAAACAAGGAATTGGAATCGGAATCGTTCAAAATCAAAAGATGCCCAAACACATACTGGAGGCTCTGTGCTAGAAGGCACGCTTAACTGATAATAATGACTGATATTTGTCTTGTCGAAAACTTTTACAATTGAAGTAAATACCTTCAGCAACATAAACTTTGATTACCAAAGAAGATTTTTTTTCTCATTATCCAAACCCA